CCAAAACAAATGGCCTCTGCCTTTGAGAACTGGATCGACCTGGGGAGAAGTGCCATCACCGTGGTGCATTTGTTGAGCCGTATAAGGAGCAAACTGCTAAGTCTAGGACAGGCCGTGCACTTTTAACATCTCATTTCGTCTTGACTTAATGTGAGATGACACGCACTCATCTTTGTACTTGGAGGTTATACCATATTTTTTTAGAGCATTGTCTATACTATTTCTAGAGTTTTTAGTCCATATATTTGTTTTTGGAGTTCTCCATATAGAACTGCTGATGTGGATCCCAATCTGATTTTAAGCATAGCTCTAGGAAAGCTAATACGGGTTTAAAACTGAAAAATACTGATGTAAGTGTATAATTTGATAAATTACCCTGATGTTTGTCTTAACTGGTTCGTGGCTTTTCCCTGTATCTCCAGTAATTCAAACTCTAGACGAGGAGTTGGCAAGCTTTGATGACCTCACCTGTACGGATCCAGCTTGTGGCTGTGGTTTTTGTATAGCTTAGAAGCTAAGAATGATTTTTTCCTTTTTTAAAACACAAAATGAGGAAAATACAGACTATACCATAAATTTCTAGGTATAGCTAGGTTACTCACTGGAAGTTTTGAATATATATGCCCTGGTCCCACCATTAGTGATTTTTAATAGTGCTGTTTTTTCCTTCAGTGTAGAATCTGTAATAGGAAAGTTAGCAGCTGAACTATACTAAATCAAGAAGTTAGACTAAGGCCTCTGTGGTGGCCTACAGGTTAAGTCTCTATGCTATCTCTTCTGAGTTTGACCCTTGGCCAGGGAGCTAAATAAACCACATGGCACAGCAGACTTCTCCTGTCTCCCTGCTGCTCCCCTCAACAGTGTATTTCAGCCTGCCTGTCCTGCTCCCTACTCTGTCTCTGGTGAATCCTCTCTTTCCTTGCACCTCTAGCCTACATCCTAGTTCTCCACAACAATAGAAAGTTTTGATTAACTGCTAATAGAAAATGGTTGTCTTAGCAGAATGAGGCTAATGAAATAGAACCTGAGGGTTGGAATAGATCCGTGAGGATTATCTACTGCACAGATTTTTTTTCCCATCTCAGTTCTTCAAATGATTCCATAGCACTTGTTAAGTGCTAGCTTTCAGATCTTAAGTTCTACACTGGAGATTACGAGACAAATAAGCAGTTTGATTAATTGATAGGAGGGGAGAGGCCAAAGACAAGAAGAATAGTATTTTAGAACAGTATAAGAGCAAAAACATGCAAAAGATAATGTGGAAACTCAGAAGGTTTAGAAAGTTGTGTTTACCTCTTTGTCAGGCCCATGGGGAGCAAAGATCCAGACAGAAACTTCTCAAGTAGTTAATAAACAAGAGATTAGCACAGCAAAGGAAAGGAATTTGGAGAAAATCTGTATACAAAATTGGATTACACCAAGGCCACTTAAAAAAAAAAAAATCTAAAGGATGCATCCTGGAACTCACAGGATTTGGAATATGAATTGCCCAGACTGTTCCTGTACACGTCTGTCATTCAGTAGTTCAGTAGTCTCGTCTGAAATAGAGTACGTCTTAATCTTTTCTATAAATTACTAATAGGGAGGACATACTGGGCTGAAAGTTTCTCACTGACTGCTGACTCATTTGATGGCTTGCTCACAGTTTCCTTATGTGTAGTAAGACAATTTTGTTTTGCCTTTTTCAGCTCCTATGAGATTAATGCCTTCCACAAAGTAGCTGGAGATTAAGTGCAGGCCATTCTCTGGGACGTGGGTCACTCAGATTGGGAGTTCTGAGAGGTTTAGAGAAGTGATTGTTGAGTTTAGAATGAAGAGGGAATTTTTCCTCACTAGAGAAGGGGGAGTGAATGTAAGATTTAGAAATTCATGTAGAAGTTCAAATGGATATGGCTTAGCTTTCCTTCTTAACTCTCCCTGGGCTTCTTCCTGTTACTTTCAAATTCCCAGATTACCTGTTATTTCCTTAAGTGCAAAAAATTGTCCACTGAGATCTGTCCTTGGAGATACCCCAATTTCCAAATTTTATTTTGCTTCAATATCTAATAATTTCAGAGTAGAATCACTTCAGGGTAGTAATTCTTAACACCTACAAGATCAAGCATACAGTGTGAGTGAGTTACTTTTGCCTCTGCTCAGGATGAAATCCGAGGGAGGAATTTCTCAGATTTTATTTTACTAGGCAGCTCTCTTATTTCCCCACACCGACATTTATCTTAAGGTACTTTATTGAACTCCTACCTTAGTTTGTCGTGAAATATTTTGTAACTGATTAGTAATGAAAGTGCAGCCCAGTATAAATAACATAATTATTATCACAAAGGGATTTGTGTGTTGGTGGCCCCTGCTTGTCTGATGTAATACAGTATGTCTGGTGGTACGTGGCTAATTAACACTGGTGTCACTGAAGTTGACCTCACTACTTTAATTGAATGTATCTGTCTTGATTTTAAAGCTTTTTAGAAACTAAAAATTATTGGAGAAAAATTTACAAAGTTAATTTCTGTTTTGAAGGGAGCGCCTGTAATGGTGGTAATTGCTAGTAGGCATCGTCTCCTATGTGTCTGACATTACTAAAGGTAATTTAGTTTATTAATACATTTACTCTCCGTAAGACCATAAGCACTGTCATTGCCCTCGCTTTGTAGGTGCGGAAACTAAGGCCCCGAGATGTCCTGAGGCAGGACTTTGAAATCCCCCCTCCTTCTTCAGGAGCTCACACTTTGACCTGTAATGCTGTGACAGACAAGCTGCTTTATAAAACTGCAGAACGCAATGTTAAATATAGAAAGACTATACTTCTAAATCTCTGTGTCCAGTTGTAATAGATGGTGATGGTTTAATTATTCTGTATTTGTTACTGCAAATTTTTATACTTGAAAGTATTCTGCTCCCAATTTACTAAAAATGGTACCATGTTGTGTGTCTTTCTAAAATTGTAATGACATCATTATGCCTTGGCGTTAAGGTTCAATGATTTACTTTGAACAATGATTTATTTCAAATACCTAATTTGAAGGGGCATTAAGAAATAAATGCTTACAATGTTGTTATCTCTTTCACATCTTCCCTACAGTCTCTGATTAGTGTCTTGTAGAGTATTTGAATGACATACATATCCAGATTTTATTGGACTAGAAAGTAATGAGTAAATACTTGCTATTTTGTGTATTAAGTGCACCAACAGAAATTATGAATTTTCAGTACTCCCTTTCAAAGAATAGTATTTTTTTTAAAAATATTTATGCATACAGAACTGGGGTATAGTTCAAAGGTGCGGGAGTGGTGAGAGGCTTCACCCGAGACAGAGTGGGAGCAGAACAGGCAGATTAACTGAATTACACTGCTGAGGGGAGCAGCATTCGTGTCGGAGAGGTCTGCCACTCCATGTGGGTCAGCTCCCTGGCCGGGGATCAACCTGTTGCAGTGGCTGCAATAGCTCCACAGTGCTGTGCTTTAATGCGTAGTGCTACCAGGAACGGCCCCTAGCATGGTTCTTAAGAATTAGGTGGATCCTTAATAAACTTAAAACTTATGCACAGAATACTGATGAGTCATTGTTATGTTTTCAGCAAGCCCCCTCCCTCCCCACACTCTGGAGTACATTTGAAAAGTAGGAAATAAGCAAAAATGCCCAATGAATAACAAAACTCCATTGCTAAATCTACACTTAACTATTAGAAACATCAGCACCTTGGCACCTCTTAAATGCATTTTTGGTGGCAGATAAATGAGGAAAGGCAACTGGTTCCTAGCCAACAGTATATTGTTAGTGCAGGATGATATTAGGCTTGTAGTGCTAGTTTTGTAGCAAGAAGGATGATAGAGATGAAAATGAACTGCACTTAGAAATAGCTGAGTCCAAATAACTTTTGAACAAATTGGTCTGTACACTTTAATTTTTCTTAAGGATAAGTCCAGGGCCCTCCCTGGTGGCGCAAGGGGTTAAAGCGCAGCACTATGATGTTATCACCAACCATTGCAGCAGGAGTTCAATCTCAGGCCAGGGAGCTGACCCACATGATGCAGCAGACCTCTCCTGATCCACCTGCTCCTCCCCTCAGCAGTGTTTTTCAGTCGATCTACCTGTTCGGCTTCCTGCTCTGACTCAGTGAATCTTCTTACTACCCACACATCTCTGGCCTGTACCCCAGTTCTTGTCTGCATAAATAAATATTAAGGGGGAAAAAAGGTCAGGGCCTCCCTAGTGGTTCAGGGGTTAAAGTCTCAGCACTGTCAAGCTATTGCCAGCCACTAATCTTTTTTTTTGTAAGGGTCAAATTAGGATCTTTAATATATAAAGCATTTGCACTAAGACTGCCTATCAGAAAGGGTTTGCAGTATTTTTGGTATGTACAGGTAAGGTTTTAGGTTGTCCTGTGGTTTTTGTTTATAGGATGTCTTTTGAGAATGCTAATTACATTTTGGATGTATAGTTACTTTGAAGGCAAAGTAACTATAATTTTGTCTTCTAGAGTTCATTTGTATACAACTTTGTTGTATCAGCTGAGTCAGTATGAGAAAACTGGTTCTGGAGTCAGATTTGTTTGAATTTCACATATTTGATTTTAGTTTGTAATATGAGTATGAACATACAGCTTCATCTATTTCCAAAAACTTATTGAGCAACTACTGTACACTCTGCATTAATTTAGGAGTTACAGATTCATCAGTGAACATAAAGGTCAAAAATCCCTGTCATCCTGGGACTTATTTGAGACTGATAATAATTAACAATGCCAATCCCTAGGTTTTAGAGTTCTTTTTTCAAGATTAAGGTAGTACATAGAGTACACATAACTAATACCTGTTATTTCTAGTGATTGATTCTTGTTCACATATGGACTGCTGGACTAGTCTTGACAAAATTGTTGAGCTTTTTTTTTTTTTCATCTCAAAAAATGGTAAGGTGATTTTCATTGGTGATACTTAATACATTAGTTTTTTCTTAAATTGAGAATTAAAAGAGGGATGACAATCTGTGTGTTACTTTTCAACAGCCACCAAAAAAGATATCTAAAAAGGAGAAACCCAAACAGAAAGCCACTTCTAAAAGTAAAAAATCAGTGAAAAGTGCTAATGTGAAGAAGGCAGACAGCAGCACCACCAAGAAGAACCAGAACAGTTCCAGAAAAGGTATGTCAGGTGTGATGCACTGTGTGGTAACGTGTAGCTTATCTGTTCTAACATAGTTTTTAAGTGTGTGGGAAATAGGCAGATAAGAATATTGGTGGTTACATAGCATTAACAGTTTTTTATAGTCATAGTTTTTCAAAATTGAGAAACCCTTCAATGCATGTTTTATATATATATATTTTTAAAGATTTATTTATTCATACAGAACTGGGGTACAGGCCAGAGATGCGGAGGGTGAGAGGATTCACCAGGGACAGAGTGGGGAGCAGAACAGGCAGACTGACTGAAATATGCTGCTGAAGGGAGCAGCGGGCGGGTCAGGAGAGGTCTGCTGCGCCATGTGGATCTCCTCGGGGCAGGCGGTGATCGAATTCGTGCGGAAGTGGCTTAAACTTCTTTTGCAGTGCTTTAACCCGCTGTGCCACCAGGGAGGACCTTGATTTTGTTTTTTTTTACCTATTACCCTTTTCAGTGCTTACAGGATATTGCTCAATGTTGTTTTTCTTTGTAAGAAAAATTTTAATTCATGTGTAATAACATCTTGTTTTTAGAAAGTGAATCTGAGGATAGCTCAGATGATGAACCTTTAATTAAAAAATTGAAGAAACCTCCTACAGATGAAGAGTTGAAAGAAACAGTAAAGAAATTATTGGCCAATGCTAACTTGGAGGAAGTCACAATGAAGCAGATTTGCAAAGAGGTAATTGGACAAATGCTTAGAATATTTTGCTTATATTTAAAAATTCTTTCACACATTCCTTAATTCAAAGTAAGATTCTTGTGTGCATTCATTGAACATTTTTTAAAAAATTTATTGTATTATTATTATTTTTTAGAGATTTATTTATTTTTCATGCAGAACTGGGATACAGGCCAGAGATGTGGGGCGGTGAGAGGATTCACCAGAGACAGGGGGGAGCAGAACAGGCAGATCAACTAAGTACATTGTTGAGGGGAGCAGTGGGTGGGTCAGGAGAGGTCTGCCGCGCCATGTGGAATTACCTGCCATGTGGAATTACCTCCGGGGAGGGTGGGGATCAAACTCATGCTTAAATGGCGTTAGCTTCTTAGTGCTGTGCTTTAACCCGCTGTGCCACCCGCTGGGCCCCTGAACATTTTTAAAGTTTCTGGAGTTACCTCATAAATCATAGCAAGTGCTGCATTCTGTCCTGTATAGGAAATTTTTCCTGATGGGGAATGGTTTTTATTGATGGATCTTTAGAATTTGTAATTTTTAAATAAAGTCAAACTCATGGGCTACCTTATTTTCACTGTTGCCATAGTAAATGAGATGTTCTGGATTAGGTTCTTGGCACAAAATTTCCATGAGGTTCTAATGCTTCTCCGGAAATAAGGTGCTTTAATTTTTTATTTTGTTTTTTAAGTATTTCTCTAAATTTATGTATATACATACAAGAACTGGGGTGTAGGCCAGAGATTCAGGGGTGTCAGAGGATTCACCAGAGAGTGGAAGGCAGAGCAGTTGGGTCCTACTGGAATCCACTGTTGAGGGAGCAGGGAGCCAAAGAGGAGTGGTCTCCTGTGCCATGGGGGTCAACTCCCTGGCTAGATCGAACTCAGGCCACAGTGGCTGGCGATAAGCTTGATAACACTGAGACTTTAACCCCCGCACCACCCGGGAGGCCCCAATGATCTACTTTTGAATGTGATTCCATAGGAATTGTATACATAAAATCGGCAGATTTAAGAATCAACTTTTTTTTTATGCTAAAGTCAGCTGAAATTTGAAATGTACCGAAGATCAAATAGCCTGTACTTTGTAAGGCATTGATTATTCAGTCAGTATTTACTGAGCCTCTACCCCGGCCACTTAAATAGATATTTAAGAGGTAGATGGTTTTAGGGTCCTGGGGTGGTGAACCAGAGGGAGACAGCTGTTTGGGTAAGTCAGGGACAGTGTGTGCTGCCTGTGTCTGAGGCAAGCAAGATGCGCCATACCTCAGGGCAGAAAGCGCCTGCTGGGGCGTGGGTTCTGGAATCTGAACAGCTTCTGGGAGGAAGTCTTAGGACAGGAGCTGTTCATAAATTAGGAACATCGATGCATTCACATAACTGACAGATAGTGACTGTGAGTAATAGTTATTAATTTAATGTGATTGTGGACGAGTTAGAAGGACCCTCTTCTCAGAGATCATGACAGACTGCCAGAGTTTTGCAGATCTACTTACCTTAGAGGGGAAAGGGTACTCACTAAGTTGTATCTTCTTTGGGGAATAGATACTGCCTTTACCTAGCCATTCAATTTCTAGGTCTATCCTAAAGACAGTCACATCTGTACGAAATGATTATAGTCATGTTCAGCATGTTTGTGATATTGAAAAATTAAACAGCCTAAATGGCCATCCATAGGTAACTAAATTGGTACATCCATATTTCTGGAATGCTCTGTAGCAGTTCAAAAGAACATGGAAAAACCTTCAAATGCATGTGCATAAAGCAGCCAGCCTTCAAATTGTTATGTTTTCCTGCAGCACTCTTTTGTCTAGGCTTAACCACAGAGGAGGGGTTTTGCTGAGAATGAACAAAGGCCAAACAGCTCTAGTACTTCACAGTATTTGCAGAGGTTGGCAAACTGAGCATCCATCTCTCCAAGTGCTTCTGTAACACGGCCACACCTTCATTGAAGGATTGTCTATGACCACTCTCATGCTACAGTGGCTTAGTTGTGGCAGCAACTGTTGCTGGAAAAGCTGAAACCACTTAACTCTAGTTCTGTACAGGAGAAGTTTGCTGACTTTGGACAGTATTGTGGACGTGAAGTTGGCAGGGAGCTTACGGGTGGTAGGCATGTGAAGAGTCAGGGCCAGAAGCCAGTGTGAAGTCCCGCAGCAGGTATGAAATTCACAGAGGGGGACTTTAGAGAACACGATTCTGGGAGTAGGGCTCGGGGAACCACTGGGATCACATTGGCAGAACTTTGGGAAGAAACTGAGCAGTGGAGTTCAAGTGGTGGAGTCAGAAATAGTGTTGGGATGATGTACGAGAGAAGGATTTCTCCAAAGTACCTGGCAAATAACTTGCAGTATAAAGAACTTAGTCCACTTAAGAGCCGCAGTTCTGTTAACTAATTAACTGATGCTTGTGTTTATAAAATGCTGACCGCCTGCATGCTGGTTTGCTGTCTGCTCTGTACCCACTATGGGAACCACTCACTGCCTTGGGATTCGAGATGGTGAACCAGAGACCTGTTGGTATCCTGGTGCAGATGAGGGCATCTGTGCATCTCTTTATCTAAAGTTAGACCACATTGGATTTTTAAATCTACCCCAATTTTTTCCCATTTTCCACTATAGGTTTATGAAAATTATCCCGCTTATGATTTAACTGAAAGAAAAGATTTCATTAAAACAACTGTTAAAGAGGTAAATATCCATCTTTCCTTTCTTTGGACACTTTGGGCATCAGAGATGAGAGATTGTAGATATCAAATGCAAGCATCTTTTTCATGATTTTCATGCCGCTAAGGATCACATTGACCCTGAGTTCTTCAAAACAGACGGGTCTAAATTTCATTTCCAGTTTAGGGTTTAGTCTGAACCTGACCTCAGGTCAGGGCCCCCGTCTCCTTGCATGCTGGGCCGCTGGGCCTTGTGGGCCACCTCTGTGGGACAAGCAGGCGCCAGCGCCAGCAGGTGGATTCCACGGTCGCACTGGTCTCGGCTGGTTTCCTAAGGTCATAGTAAAGGGGCAGCTGAAGTAGGGTTCTAAGTGAGCTTATGTGTGTGATGTGGAAAATAACATATGTATTTCATTACAGCTGATCTCTTGAGAGCGCGGACAGATGACTTGTTCCATGGATTTAAGGATCTGATTTATACCGTTATACCAGCAGAGAGAATGTATTTCCTTTTTTTAAATCCTTGCAAGCATTGTGTTGGTCGAACTTAGCGAAGACCTTTTTATCTTGAGTGTTATGTAAATTTGTTTGCCTTTTAAAATTGCATTTCTATGCAGTTTTTAGTTTAAAATTTTGCATGGCAGTAATTGTTTCTTGCTTTTATAGTCATTTTGTACATTTCAAAATTCTTTATATAAGGTCGTAGATAACTGTTGTAGTTTTTAGTGCACTTACTATATTAGCTAAAGGCATACTTTTAATCAGGTAGTACAGAAACTATTATAACTGGCATTTATACATGCAGAGATTATTGCAGTATTTAGTATATGAAATATTTTGAATACACATCTCTGTCAGTGTAAAACTCAGTGGCGGTGTGTTCATCATATTTAAAATACCCAGGCTTCAGCTGCCCAGATGACTAAATCAGAACTTTTCTCCTGCATGTGTATATATGTCAAATTGTCAGCATGTCAGAAGTGACAGATGTTATTTTTGTATTTTTAAAAACAAATTTGTTGTATATAAAGTTTTTTAATTTCTTTTGTGCAGATCAATTTTTAAACTCATAGGTAGACACCTTTACAGTTATAAACCATTGCATATCAGTGTTCAGCCAGAAGGTGTGACCGCAGTGAAAGTCAGGGCGAGAGAAGCACTGACAGAACAGTTCTCTGCTTTGCCTCGAAAGTGTCACTCTAGTGTAGTGATAATTCTGCAACAGTGTCTGTAGATGTATTTTATATTTAAAGTAGTGCAAAATCAACACATCAAAACTTTTTTGGACAAAGAGTGGGATTAAATACAAGCACATGAGGCTTATGAGAAATAAATGATTTTTATTACCTGCTTTTAACTGCTTTTGCCCAAGTAAAATGCTGATGTTTATAGAAAACTTGACCACCTTTCTGATTGTGGTAGAAGTAGCCAGTGTAATTGCAGAAGATAATCTGGGGACAGTAGTGGGTAGCTCTGACAAAACACTTCTCAAAAATGGTAATATAAAGAAACTTAACTTGTTTGTGGAATCCGGGCTGTTGGATTTTAAATTTTGGCCAATCAAGACTCTAGGTGATCAACAGGACCACTCCTTAATGAGGATAATTCTTTTATGTTGTCTTAATCAGTTTATTAAATAATCTGGAATTAAACATGCAGTTTGAAAAAAATTAGGCCTTTCATAAACCAATTGGGCGGCTAAGGTAAAATATTTGCATCATAGAACAGAAATAAAAGTGATATAAATGTTGATAGTATTTCCACAGGTTTGACTTGTTTCTTGATAAAAGGTTAAGACCTTAGAGTATACATACTACAGATGAATGGACTAAAAATCTAAACTAAGAATTGGCTTATGATTTTAAATATATAATTTGTTCCTATAAACCTTGTCAATAAAAGTAATAAATCAATGACCTAGTCTTGTGTTATGCTTTCTTTTAAAATATTTTAATAAATCTGTTCTGGTCTCGTGTTTTCTTTTAAGAGGTTTTAATAAATCAATGATCTAGTCTTGTGGTTTCTTTTGGGGGATTTTATGATGCGGGGCCTGGGGTGCAGCCGGGGTTGGGAGTGGGGGTGCTTTGGGTGGGTTGGCTAGGATGGGATGGTGTGCCTTGTGGGGTGCTTTGGGTGGGTTGGCTAGGATGGGATGGTGTGCCTTGTGGGGTGCGGACCTGCTTTGTGTTGCGGGTTCCTGGCTGCGGGCCTGCTTCGTGTAGCGGGATCCTCGTGTTGCCGGTTCCTGGATCATTCCTGGCTGGGGCGGGATCTCTTGGGCATGGGTCTTGCTGGCCTGGGGTGTGGGCTCTTGCCGGCTGCGGCCGGGCGGCCGGGCGGCCGGGGCTTTGTGTTGGATCGGCCGGGAGGTGGCGGTAGAGGTCGGGATGTCTTGGATCTTGCTGGCCTGGGATGTGGGCTCTTGCCGGCTGCGGCCGGGCGGCCGGGCGGCCGGGGCTTTGTGTTGGATCGGCCGGGAGGTGGCGGTAGAGGTCGGGGTCGAGCGCGCCTGTTGGCTAAAACGGGAGGGGCCTGCTGCCGGTTATGGCGCAGGCCCCTGGCCGGGGATCGAGCTCGTGCCGCGGTGGTTTCGGGCCCCTGACCGGGGATCGAGCTCGTGCCGCGGTGGTTTCGGCGATGCCGGCTTACCGCTTGAGCCACTGGGGGGGTCCCCCCTCTTGGGCTGTGCTTTCTACGGTATTTACCCCATTCTCCACGTAAAGATTGAGACCAGGGATTTAGCCATCTCATACCCTGTGTTGCTTGAAGTGCTTTTCAGTAGGAATATGCTTTTATTTCGAGTGAAGTCACTACAGAAATATCGTTAGGGACAACTTGAAACAAGCTCACAAAACTATAAAGCTGATTAAAGTTACTTGAAACAAGCTCACAAAACTACAAAGCTGATTAAAGTTAACAGTTCTTACTGGTAATGGGTACAGCATAATGGGGAAAACCTGATATTCTGAAGAGGTTTTGGAGATGAGGGGGTTTATCCCCTCAGTTCTTGGTGAAGATGCAGTTTACTGTCGTTGACCACAGCACACAGTATTTGAAAAACAAGTCCAGTTTTTATTAAGCAGTTTTACACAAACATCTGACAATCTGCAGTTTAAAACGTAGATTTACTGCCACTCAATTACAAAATCTTCAGATGACAGTGAAGAACATTCAAAAGTCATCCAAGAATGAAAGAAAAGTACAGTGGTTCCTTGAACAAAATATCAAATGATGTATGCCACTAGAGAGAGGAAGTGAAGATTGTTCTGAACATACAGATTATGTAGATCTTTTTCTAGTTTGCTTGTAGCACAGTACAAGTTTTAAGTGCCCAGAGACTAAAGCAATAATTTACTGTGGACCATTTCAAACTTAGTATCTTTGCATTTATCACTTCACACATGCTATTCTTCAGCATTTTAATATATAGCACTTTAAAACAATACTTCCCAGTCAGTACCAATGAGTCTCATCAGATAACCTAAATTTCACCATTTTTCTGCATTTAGCTTTGAAGCTAGTAATCACTATTTGCTTTCTTTTGTTTGTATCCTACTTTGATGGGGAGTTAGGTGTGCCTGAACTCTGAAGTTCACCATACATTCTTTACATCAAACACTTTCTACTTATAAGCTGACTTAAGATAAAATTTTTAAAAATACTTAATATTTTGAAAAGTGACCTTAAGTCATTTTGAGTGTCCCTTTTTATCAGCAGACCAAAATAATTGAATTGTTAAAAGACTTTTTAAAACAAAAGCACTTAAGTTATCCATCTTTCTAACCTATACACTGAAGTTTCTTGGCAAGATCAGCATCCTGAAGAACCTGAAATGAATGTTTTTTTCAATGACTTTTTGCCATTAGTGAAAAAGAGAAAGTAACAACTTTGCCATGTTCTCAGGCTAAGATATGGCTTATACAGTGTAATATTTACCAGGATGTCACTTTTTTTTTTTTTTTCAGTTTTCCAGTGGGCCTGCCTATGGAATACTGAAAACAATTTTAAAAATATTACTGGAAATTCAACCCAAGAGGCATTTGGGAGAGGCTTTTATTAAATTACCTGACAAGATCGTTTTTGCCAGCAGTTGCCAAAATTAAGGCTATTTAAAAGGTGCCATCTACCTAAATTTGGCTCTAAGAAAATAGCCATATTTTAGTCAAAAGTATGAGAACACACCATCTACCCCTTCTTGAAAGAACATCTATATGTGTAAAGAATTGAAAATTTTGCTTGTTTGCTAATGAGTGCCCAAATCTAGCATAAAAGATACCTGAATTTAGATTTCCTTCTGAACACTCAGTGGGAAGAAATACATACTATATAAAATACTCTAAATGCTTCATTTACCTTTGAAGAGTTTGTGGTGTATCCAAAAAGGAGATTCCTATCTAAATTGTAAGTAAAAACTTGATTTTGGAGCTAATATAAAAATCTTAAGGCTCATTGGTAAAGATACTGACAAATAATTGTCAAAGAAGAAAATACATGGCTTTATCTGCTTGAAGTGATTCCTGCCTGCCTGACTTCGTTTCTCAATGTGTGAAAATTGAGCAACCAAATAAAATGTCAAATTTGAAGGGAATCTTTCAGTCATGGAAAAAAATACCCCAAATCTTACGGTTCTATTTTGTTACATTCTGCAATCAAGATGACAAAGCACTAGTCATATCTGTGGAAAATTAAGTGCTCACAAAAGGATTCTTGAGGCTAGTGCTCTCAGGATGGTGTAATGGCTTCCATGATCACATCATCTCGGGGACATTTTAATTTTCTATCCAGAGGGGTGTCTGTTTGATTTTCTTAAAGTGAGGTTTAACGTGTTTCAAAATTCCCTATTTGGGGTACCCACAAAAGCTGGGTCAAAATTCTTTTTAAAATGCTGCTATCTTGCTTGCTTCTCGAACGCCACTCAAGTAGGCCCCTGTAACAGTCTGTGGGAAATGCCTGTTTGTTGCCTGTAAAGAAAAGAATTGCATAATTTGAGACCACATGTGAGGAATTTACATGATTATCAAGATAATACAAGCTTCTACTTTCCTGGTCCTCCTAAATTGGCTGATTCTATACTGCTCCTGTGTGTGTAACTTAATTAACACCACTCATCCATCACAACACTTAGATCTTTCTAGCAGTCTCACCAAGCTTCACCAAATTCACTCCTTCTGTGAGATTCAGCACTTCTGTGAAATACTGTGCCATTCATGAACATATCTGTATATGCCAGGTATGGGAATAGAGAATAGGACATGGGCCTCCCTGGTGGCATAGGGGTTAAAGTTTTAGAGCTATCGAGCTATAGCCAGACACTGAGGCATGAGTTCAATCCCTGGCCAGGGAGCTGACCCACATGGCACAGCAGACCTCTCCTGTCTCACCTGCTACTCTGCCCCCCCTCGGCAGTGTATTTTAGTTATCTACCTGTTCATCTCCCCACTCTATCTATATATATAAATATTTATAAATATTACATATATATATAAATGAATAGGACACAGTCCCTCCTGTCAGACAAGTAGGTAGTCAAGGATAAAGGATAGATTACCTCAAGGGGAAGGAAAAGATACAAAGGTGATGGTTATTGAATTGGGAGGAAGCAAAAAGATTATTGATGGGAAGAGAAGCTCACTTCCAAGAAGCAGCAGCAAACTGGGGCAGAGTGTAGGAGGCTCGAATCAGTGGCTACTGGGAAGAAATGACAAGGTCAGAAATGTGGTTTTGGAAGATGGCTGAAGTGGAGTTGGGCAGGTGATGGGAAATGAGGGTAAGAAAAAAGGAGAAGATCTATGTGAACTAATTTATGTCCCATGTTGCCTACAAGGCTGGCTGGGGTGGAAGAGGAGATATCCAAAATGCCAAGCTTGAATCAAGGGGGAAGCAGAAGTTCTGTAGGAACACAATGACTAGCAGCAGGAGAGTGGCAGAGTGACAGACACCTCCCTCAAAACAAGGGTTTTTATAAGGTGAGGTAACAATGGTAGCAGCACTACAGAAAGCAAAAGAAGTCTAAGCCTGCTCGTAACCCAGAGGCACATCAGCCTAAGGAGCCACCTCTTGGAAGCTGCTGACACTTGTCCCTGGCATGCAGCCAGCAGCTCTGTTCCTGCAAAGCTGGCTCTTGACAGGCCAAGGATTAACTAAAGATAGCTTGGGCTTCCTGACATTGTTTTGTAATCACTCAAAAATGAAGAGAAAAAAGTGAAAACACTAGATAAAATGAGTGTAACCCAAAACTGTAAAACACAAAGTATGAACGTGGAGGGAGAGTGCTGAGAATTCACTTCAATCTTCCTAATTTGGGGGCTTGGGAGAGTGGGGTGGGACCATAACAAAAAGCAAGCCAATTCACCCCAAAGAACCTTTTAAAATCTCAGGTTTTGGAGGCAGTAGGCACTGTGGCAGCAGAGGTTTGTTGTAAGTGAAAACTGAGCATTGATTTATTAGCTACAAAGAGCAAGCTGGTCAGTCCCAGGTTCCCCACCTACCTGCTACAATCCCAGGAGATCAGAGGTGCAAAGCAGGGGTGAGGTACAAAGCAAAAGGGAGATGAAGTAAGTATAAATAAGAGTAAGGCTTCCAGTTCTTATGATGCCAGAGCTGAACTTCTATCCCATAAACAAGAGAAACTACATGTTTCCAGAGAAAAAAACTATAACTAGATATTAATGCTTGGGAATCCAAGCACTAGTTGAAAAACTTGCTGGAGCTTTTAATTTTTAAAGAAATGTCTCATTCAGATTTAGGAAGCAAAGCAGTCAAAGACTAAGTTGCAAACTAAGAAATAAGGTATGAAGCAAGAACAGGATGTTAGCAAAAAGGTGCAGTCTGAGGATAAGAAAGTGCACATAAACTAAAAGGCTCAAGTTTTAAGTCAATTCAAGGGTTGGAAGATAAATTTCCCCACTCCAAAAGTAGAATAACAAGATGGCTAATAGTAAAGAAAGCTAGGAAATCAATTCAAGAGTTCTAATATATATAAATGTAGAAATAAGAGAAAAAAATTGTGGGAAGAAAATTATCAGAAGTAAAAACTAAGCAAGAAGAGAAAATCAAAGACTGAAGAGTAAGAGCTTCTCGATTCTAAGGAATCAAAAAAGGAAATTAGAAGCAGAAACCAGAATAGCAAAACATTTCTCAACATTTCTTCTTCTCAAGAAAGAAGAAAGCCCATTTCACACTCATTAATGTGGCTAGTAAGAAAAAGCAAAATTAGTGTTGGTGAAGACATAGAGAAGCTAGAATCCTAGTACATTGTTGGAGGGAATGTGCAATCAGTGGTCATTCCTCAAAAAAGTAAAAGTAGAATTAACATATAGCTATGCCATTTCAGGGTGCATAACCCAATAAGCAAGTATCTGTACACTCGTTCTAGTGGTATTCACAATAGTTAAAAGGTAGAAGGTAAAAGTGACTGGTGGATCGATGAATAAATGGAATGTGGTCTATATATATAATGGACTATATGTATAGTCTTAAAAAGGGAGGATATTCTGACATGGGCAGGACATCGATGAACCATCAGGACACTATGCTAGGTGACATAAGTCATTAACAACAGGACAAATAATGTGATTCTACTTAATGTGAGGTACCCCGAAGAGTCAAATTCACATGCTCAGAAAGTAGAACACTGGTTGCCAGAGACTGACAGTGTATTTAATGCCACTGAAGCTACAATTAAAAATGGCCAAGATGGAAAATGTTGTTAGGGGTAGCTTACCATCGTTTAAAAAGAAATGAGGGGGATCTAGGAATGAAAATTCCAACCCTGGGAAGCAGTAAGGAGGAGTCCCAGAGATCAACCTGTGCAGGGGGGCAGAGGACTGGGGAAGAGAAGTTTCAGAGATGGAACAGGCAGGTTCCCAGGAATTCCCCTGTGAAAAAGAGATGATGGAACACTGAAGAGGCTTAAGGAGTGGTGGAAAACAAAGGTTGGCTAAGGACCGTCCTAAGCCCAGTGATAGTCCAGACAACAAAGCTGTCGTACAGAAGAATCCAGAAACACCCTCCTGGCTTGGTTTCAAGCAGCATTTACAGCCACATCATCTAACACTGTCACCAAGTTAATCCAAAATGTGAGAGAATATGCAAGGTTAAATCTTTAATTTGACAGGAAGTCAGGAGATTATATCTAACAATATTACTTTAGGTTATAAAGTAGATTCCCAAAGAAACAGGAGTGAAAATAGGCTACTCAGGGGGTTTGAGGAAGACATTGAGATGTCTGTTGTCTTAAGACTTATGGCAGAATTTGATTTTGCTTTTATAGTCTGAACATATAGGGGCCTCCCTGGTGTCCTAGGAGTTAAGTCACAGCAGTATCACTACTACAACTTGGGTTCAGCTACACAGTGCAGCTGACCTCTCCTGTCTCACCCGCTGTTCCCCTCAGCAATCTTTCAGTAGATCTACCTGTTCTGCTCCTCACTCTCTCTGGTAAATCCTCTCACCCCCCGCACCTCTGGCCTACACCCAAATCCTTCTACACACACACACACACACACACACACAAACTATGAATATGTATCACTTCAACTTAAAAAGTAATCATAGTAAAAGTAATGGGGTTGGGAACCATGACACTCACCTCACCCGCAAAAAAGACGGTTCCCTGTATTTCTTCGGCAATGATATCATAGGCCTCCCCGCTCCCACCTGTCTTCACAAAGCTGTATGCCATCTGGATCCAGGGGTCTGTGCTCCACCGTGTGACGAAATACTTTGTGGGATCTGGGACTTCCTGTGTCAAGTCAAGGGAATTGTGATAGGGCTTAAAATCGACAAACCCCCAAAGATTAACATACAACCTCGTTTTGTCTTCAGCAACTGCATTAGGTCTGGCAGTACAGTGATACAGCAATTTCCAGAATGTTCTTCCCATGCAGCTCCACCCAAGCCCTAGCTCTTGGCAATTTCCTTCTCTCCTGGCCCAAATCTGGACCTTCGGGCCCCCGACACACACCAACACACACACACACACACTTCTTGTACTTCATCCTTTAGTTAGACACACACCTCTCCACCCCAAATGCCAGGAGCATCATTACTGGCTAAGAGTTGGGTCTTTCCCTTTCCTGTGGCTCAGCCACAAGCTAGAGAGAGGGCTGAATGGGGGTCTCTGGGCCAGGCCAGACTATACAAGGGCAGGTAGAGTTTTAGGATGCCGGTTGAAATTCCCAGCACACAGCTAAACAAGGATATGTCTCATTCTAGGTTTGCAATAATTTCTTTGGTTACCCTGACAAGCACTGTCATGATAAATATTTCTGTGGAAGCTGTGCTAAGACCCTCCCTGGTGGCACAGTGAGTTAGGACACAGCACTGCAAGCTAGCTGCAGCCACTTCAGTGAGTGTTGGATCCCCGGTGCCGGAGGTGACCCACATGGCACAGCAGACCTGCTCCCCTCGGCATGTACTTCGTCAATCTGCCTATTCTGCTCCCCACTCTGTCTCCTGTGAATCCCCTCACCGCTTCTGGCCTGTGCCTCAGTTCTGTAGGCATAAATAAATCTTAAAAAAATGGAGTCAGGCCCTCCCTGGTGGCACAGCGTGTTAAAGCACAGCACTAAGAAGCTTAAGCCACTTCGGCATAAGTTCAATTCCCACCTGCCCCGGAGGTGACCACATGGCGTGGCAGACCTCTCCTGACCGGCCCGCTGTTCCCCTCAGCAGTATACTTCCTCAATCTGCCTGTTCTGCTCCCCACTGTGTCTCTGGTAAAGCCTCTCACCCTCCACATCTCTTACCTGTACCCCAGTTCTGTATGAATAAATAAATCTTTTTAAAAAAATGGAGTTATAGTCCCAGCTTTAGAATACAATTATAAATTAAAAAAAAAAATTAAAAAAAAAGAGAAGCTCTGCTAAGTTCCAAACAATGCATATAAGCCCCAAGTTAGAAACTACTGTGAGAGGTATAATCACATCATATAAAACATGCAATACCCCCAAAGTGCCTCACTTTCTAATCTATGTAAATCTTGGATCTTTTCACACCCTTCTACTTTGGCTCCTTTGTTTGAAAAAGACACAAGCCACAGTCTTTCTGATTCTCTAGAGATGTGAGATTTAGTAAACTGGTAAATAGAAAGTGTCGTAGGATTCTAGGAGAAAAAATGAAAAGAGATGACATGGACATGTGGTACATGAGAAAATTCTGGGAAACATGTAAAGGTAAAAGGGAAGCTTGCTGAGTTTGTGCAAATACAGAATCTATGGGAAATGCTGAGCCTTATACCCTGGGGAGAAAATAGGGGTGTGTATGGTGGACAGGAAGGAAGACAATCCAATTATTTCATAAAAAGATAAATGATATTGTTATGGGCTGTGTATGTTTCCCCAGATGTAGATGTTGAAGCCCTAAACACCTATCCAGTACCTCAGAATGTGACTGTATTCAGGAGAGGGCCCCGTTAAGTCAAAATGGGGTCGTCAGGGTAGGCCTTATTCTAAAGACTGGTGTCCTTACAAGAAAGAGTAGGGTGCAGATGACACAGAGGGGAGACCCAGGGAAGACACAGGGTGAAGACGCCATCTGCAAGCCAAGGAGGAGGCCTCAGGAGACACTAACACCCCTTCCGCCATGCCTCGATCAGTTCCAGTCTCTAGAACTGAGGAAATAAATTCCCATTGTTGAAACCATCTGGTCTGTGGTATTTTGCCATGGCCACCTGAGCTTATGCTTGAGGTGCTTCAGAGGAAAGTTGGGTACTTGAAGGAAGACTGACATGACCTACTGCCTTGATTGTCTTCGCTCCATCTGCTCTGGGGCCCTCACGGCTCTGAGGGGCAAGTGTGGCTTTCTCCTTGCCACTGACCTGCTCCTTGAACAGCTCCCGGAGCGTGGCCATGCACTGCTGTAGCACTTGCTTGTCATCCAGGCTTCTCACGGAGGCCACTGCCTCTCCGCTGATCACGGACATCAACACGCTGTGCTTCTTCTGGAGACACGAGAAGGTGCAGCAGCTATTATAATCACCACCCGAACGAGGTGCATGCTTCCAAGCAGAGAAGCACCTTGTGCTCCTAAATTTTATTATTCCCTGCTGCCCCTTGTCTTCATTTCCATCACTAATTCATTTCCCTCACAAACCCTTTATTTTTCCTGCTGGAAAAAAAAAATCCCAGGAAGTAGTGCCAGTTACAAGTCTAGGACTTAACCTTTGAAAGAATTTGTTGAGAAGGGAAGTTTGCAAACAAAATAATGGGTGAAGTCTTCTCACATGTTGAAGAAATGAGAGTCCTTGACTCTCTTGGGAAGCTTTTTCTGATAGTTTCTTGAACAGAGAAGGAAACAACTGGGATTCTTTGGCAAGACGTTCATACCACCAGGACTTCCAAATCCAGGGTGTACCTCTTCCCCACCAATCACACCTCCCGCCCCAGCCCCACCTCATCACACCCTTCACCAGTGCTCTCTGGAGGGTCTCTGGGAGTTGGTTCAAGGGCCAGCTGTTACTATGTTGATGTCAATTCTAAGGGGACTTTCCCTATCTGCCTGAAGTAATAGTTTCCACAAATGACTAATTCTTTTTCCAAGATCCAGTATTGGTTCTGCAAGAAATATGGTACATGCTAGGGACCCTCTCCTTTAGGAACAGGGGTTCCTGCCAAGCACCCTCCCAGAACACAAACATATATCCAGTCGGGCACACGTGTAATGACCAACTCGAGTTCTGAAGAGTAGGAAGGGAAAGCCAAGCACATTTCGCCCATGACCTTACCTGGGGATCCATGTCATAGAATACAGCAAAAAGCCCTCGCTTGCTGGCATTAGGAGGGACATGACCGAAAAAGTCAGCCCCTTGAACTTTACTATCCCAAAATCTATAAGGAAATTGCAAGGCAATCTGGAAAGAGCAAAAGAAAGATGGTGAGATTTCGTGAACAGATCTCAAAGAAACAACCTATAGTTCTTTATTTTTTTTAAAAAAAGATTTATTTATTTACACTTACAATAACCAGGGTATAGGCCAGAAGTGCAGGGGTGAAAGATTTCACCAGAGACAGAGTAGGTAGCAGAACAGGCAGATCTGAAATACACTGCTGAGGGGAGAGGCGGGCAGGACAGGAGAGGTCTGCTGGGCTGTGTGGGTCACCTTCCGGGCTGGGGATCAAACTCATGCTGCAGAGGCTGGCAATGACTTCTTAGTGCTGAGACTTAACCCTTTGTGCCACTAGGGAGGCCCTGATTTTGCTTTTTACAGCCTCAGAATGCTGCTCCCGAGGACGAAGGTGGGGGTGGAGGTGGCCATTAGCCACTAGGCTAATCTGAAGAAAAAAAGCATTGCCGGACTGAGTCTTGCAGCTTATGGGTGTAAGACAAATTCTGACTACTCAGAGGTCTGCCAATCCAATGTAGCATGGCCCTATTTTGCCAGAGGAGATGTTATAATACCTTTCAGTATGCTTCAGGACCAATTATTTAAATGAAACATGTTTGAATTTTATCCAGAATCAAAAATTATCCACTTTTCAATATCAGAAGTTAAGAAACTCCTGCCATCTGATATTAATCTCTTTACTTCTGGGCCTTAAGAAAGTTAGTCACTAGGCACTCCCTGGTGGCGCAAGGGATTAACCCGCAGCACTATGAAGCTATCTGCAGCCACTGCAGCATGAGTTCAATCTCCGGTCAGGGAGGGACCCACATGATACAGCAGACCTCTCCTGACCTGCCCACTGCTCTCCTCAGCAGTGTATTTCAGTCAGTCAGCCTGTTCACTCCATCTCTGGTGAATCCTCTCACCCCCGTACCTCTGGTTGTACCCGTTTAATTCTTTCTTTCTTTATTTTTAAAGATTTATTTATTTATTTATTCATATAGAACTGGGGTACAGACCAGAGGTGCTGGGGCAGTGAGAGGCTTCACCAGAGTCAGAGTTGGGAACAGAACAGGCAGACTGATGAAGTACACTGCTGAGGGGAGCAGCGGGTGGGTTAGGAGAGATCTGCTGTGTCATGTGGGTCACCTCCGGGGCCGGGGATCAAACTAGCCCTGCAGTGGCTGTGGAGAGCTAACAGTGCTACATCCTAACCTGTTGTGCCACCAGGGAGGACCTCACTACCTGTTTTATATGCATACATAAATAAATCTTTAAAACAAAAAAATTAGGTTACCTTTTCAATGATGCCTGCACCTAAACTGTTGATGGCCTTCATCTTCTTTTCTGACAAAGGTGGATTAAATTGAATGGCACCTTTCTGCAGTAAAGCCAGTGGGACAGTGACCAACACCTATGGGAGATAATTAAGAGTCAACACGTACACAGTCAGTAAACTTAATTTACTGTGGGTCCATTTCCAAGAAATTCTCAATACCTAAAGAACATTCCTCTCTCCTGTCAGTCATGAGGTTACTACAATACCCCAGGTTGTGATACTTGAAAGAAGAGGGCTGCCATGTACAGCTGTGCAGGTTGTTCATTGCACAAGGGTGAGTTGAGAGGAAGTGGTGTTCACCTGGAAGAATCTGTATTAAGGTCATGGTGCAGATTGTTATCGTCTTATCCAATAAGCCTGGATAAGACAAGTTGGTAGATTTCAACCATGAGAAACAGGGCTGTGAGAGGCAATGACCCTAAACATAGGAGAATTACATTTGTGTCTCATCCCTGATACTTCCTAACATGTGGTCAACACAGTGACTTCCCCATTAACCACAAAGGACTGTGGTACTGCTTACAGCTAAAACTTAAAGCCCAACAGGCTTCACAAATGGCAAAACACATCAAGGATAGAATAAGGATAATTATAATTGTATAAAGACACATAACACTTTTGGGGGGGGAGGAAAAAATTTATTGCAGGGTCTTAAATGACTTACACAATCACTGAGGGCCAAAGAAATAAATGCTAAGAACCTTTAAGAATGACTCCCAAGACCAGGCTGCACTCTCTCCAAACACCTTGGACACTTAAGCATTCGAGAGCCATCACTACTGCTCCCAGCTCCAGAGTCATGCCAGATATAGAACAACCTGTAGCCACAAATGGATGACCTACCTCTGCCTCTGGACTCCGTACTAGTTAGTGAGGGCTCTGGGACCTCTAGACTCCACTCCGTAGGAGGACTCACATGTCCACCACTCTGCTTGTCAGCAGAAAGCCATAGTCTACCGTTAGTGCTGTTCAGGTACATATGAATGGCCCGATCTAATTCACATTTAGAACGTCAGCTGTAAGGGACTCTGGGGACTGTGTAGGTTTTTCCAGGACAATACAGCAGGATGAGTGGTGACTGGATCTGAAGGCCCAACATTGTGTCTACCTAGTCCTCATCAAAGATTTGGGGTATCTCGGCCCTCCCTAGTGGTGCAACGGGTTAAAGCACAGCACTGCAATCTGCCTCAGTGTGAGTTCGAGCCCAGCCCCGGAGCTGATCTACATGGCGCTGCAGACTTCTCCTGACCTACCCACTGCTCCCCTCAGCAGTGTACTTCATCAAATTTGTTCCCTGCTGTGTCTCTGGTGAATCCTCTCACCACCCCTGCACCTCTGGCCTGCACCCCAGGTCTGTAATGCATAAATAAATCTTTTAAAAAAAGATTTGGGGGGCCCTCCCTGGTGGCACAGCGGGTTAAAGCACTCCACTAAGAAGCGTAATCCAATTCCACATGAGTTCGATCCCCGCCTGCTCCCCTCAGCAGTGTACTTCGTCAATCTGCCTGTTCTGCTCCCCACTCTGTTCCTGATGAATCCTCTCTCCACATCTCTGGCTTGTACCCAGTTCTGTATGAATAAATAAATAAATACTTAAAAAAATATTTGGGGTACCTGGTTTGAGCCCCAATTCCAGGATCACAGGAAGTTCAGAGTTTTTCCTGTGATTTGTGGCTTTCTGCCAGGTGAAAAAAATTGAAACGCTCAAGCTTTGGCCTCAATCTGGTTATAGATCACAGCTCTATGCAATCAAAACAGGGAGCAAAGATTTTCTGGGAGATAAAGAACTGCACAGAAATAAGATCTAGATGTTATCTTAATCACCAAAAAAAAAAAAAAAAAAAAAGTTCAAGAGCACATAAATAATGAGGCAAGAGATAAAAAGATAAAAAATACTCTAAGGAATTAAAGCTAGATCTCAGTAGAGGCGGCCTAGATTAAATTACAGTGAGTCAAATGTTTATTAATGTATCATGTTGGAAATCTTTCACATATAATCTGGGGCAATTTCCATTTCAAGCAGTATGATGTATGCTACAAAAAAATAAAAACATTTGCTTGAAACACTCCAGGGCAGACTCTGAAACCTAGTCTGAAGGTATGCCCTAATTTTTCTGGGAGCCAGAACACAGAGAAGCGAGTGAACACCCAGCCCACGGGGCAGGCTGAGCAGGGAAGGCGGGACAGGCCTGGATGCCAAGGGGCAGAGCCACAGAATACCAGGGAGTATTTAAAATAAAGTTTAAGGGGCCTCCCTGGTGGTGCAAGGGGCTAAGCTCAGCACTAAGAAGCTGTCCACAGTCATGGTAGCAAGAGTTCAATCCCCACCCAGGGAGCTGACCTATAGGGCACAGCAGACCTCTCCTGTCTTGCCCACTGCTCCCCTCAGCAGTTAGCTCACTCTGCTGGTCCTATTCCCCACTCTGTCTCTGGTGAATCCTCTCACCCTCTCATACCTGTGGCCTGTACCCCAGTTCTTATAGGCATAAATAAATAAATCTTTTTTAAAAAAAGAGATTTATCCTCTACAAACCTTTACATATCGATAATAGTGGTTCTTATCTTGGGTCACAAATAAGGATGCAGTTGTCCAGTGCATGGAAACCCACTGCCAGCTGGAATCGCTGGGGAAGCTTCCCCAACAGGTCCAGTCCAGTTGTTGAGGCTTTCTCTGGGGGATGGGGCTTTGCGACCTATCCACGTATCTTTTAGGTTTTTCTAATGTGCAACCAGGATCTCTAGTCCAAAGTCTACACTACTACTACTAATTTACCAGAAAGCTAAATTTAGGTAGGTGATGAATACCCACCCACCTAGGCTTATACACCTGTCTTCCTACCCCAAAACATGCAATCCCTACTTCCATAGGAATATCAAAGACTGAAATACTTTCAGATAACTGCAAGGGATACATATACCTAACGTAGGAACTAGTGGTAGTTCATCAATACTTTTTGGTCATCACTTCAGAAATAATTAAATTTACGCAATAAACTTACAGGGCTTATAAACCCCCCCCTGCACTCCAAGAGAATGCCCTTGTTCTTCTATACTGTAGAAATTATCAGCGTGATTTTACCTGTAACAGTTCTTTTCTCTGTTCACTTAGTAAAACCTTTTACAAAAAATTCAGATATAAAAGTACTTGTGCTAGTTTCAAGATGGAAAGAGTGCTTTTGTGATGTGAAGGGTTTCTGTGATTAAAAAAGCAAAAAATCAAGCAGGAGCCCTCCTGCCCACCTGCGACTAGGCAGATGTGTGTTGTTGCCAGCCTGCTCCCTTTGCAAAGCAGCAGGGACAGCTCTCCTCCCTGGGCTGCCTGTCTGAGACCATGCAGGCTTCTCTTTTGGCAAACTTGCCCCTTTGGGGAGCAGCTCCTTCTGCCCACTTATGTCTATGCAAGCGTCCTTTATTTTTCTCTCCCTCTTTATGATAAAGCCTTTTTGGATATTAAAAAAAAGGCAAACAAACAAACAAAAAAGCCTACCAACTTGGAAAACAATGAATAAAACAACGTTAAATAGTTTTTTATTTTTATTTATGCACTACATCTCAGAACCTTTACCATGCTTCTGTGTAACCCCATAGCAGACTGTGATATATACTTCCTAAACTTATTAGCCAAAGAATTTCTCTTGTTTAACTCTCAAGATTACTGTACCATAGAGCCACTTCAAGGCCCACTATTTAGGACTCCACCCACCAAAACAATAATAACCTAATATTAGTTTAATGAAAGCAGATTTGCACATCCACACACAAATAAGTGGTGATACATAACTCCTGAGAAATCAAACGGCTCCAGGCAGACCACCTAAGGACAGGGCTCTGTGGAAGAGGTGGGCGGCTGAGCCCCAGGCCTTGGGTAGCACCTCCCAGAGTCCAGCACTCACCTTTTGTGTGGTGAACCCTGTCCCTTCTGTGGTGGTGACCTGTACTTCCTCTCCAGAATAATCAATACTCTGCACCTGCTCGAGAAAAACAGTTGTGAAAAATCATGATGGGGACAGACCTATGTGATCCATGATCCTTTACAAATCTGTTATGTAAGTTGACATCTCCTGGCATTCAGAAATGTAAACAACAATTATAGCTTATTTCAGGGAAATACCATTAAAAATTTTAAACCTATGCTGGAATAGGAAAGCTTTTTATAAAGTAATAATATCTACATGTGTGTATACACATTTATAAAACTGTCTCTAGATTATAACAATGCAGGATACAATTGCAGAGGGAAAAAGATTTGGGGGGAAAATTTATTTATTTTTTTTGTGGTACTGGCCAGAGGGGTGGGGTGGGGGGGTGAGAAGATTCCCCAGAGACAGAGTGAGGAGCAGAATAGTGAATCTATTGAAATACACTGCTGAGGGGAGCAGCTGGCAAGACAGGAGAGGCCTGCTGTGCCATGTGGGTCAGCCCCCTGGCTGGGATGAAACTCATGCTGCAGTGGCTGGCAACAGCTTCAGCTTCGTAGTACAGAGACTTAACCCCTAGGCTACCAGGGAGAACCAAGAAAGGAAAATCTTAAACCATAACTGCACTAGGTCAGGGTGTCTGGGAGCAACCTGGACACCTTATTGTTGATGACAGTGCATCTCAGGACTACTGTTTCCAACAAACAGTAGGTACATAACCTCAGCAATAATGCTCTGGTCACAGGCTCCCTGTACCACAGAAGTGCTTGAGGTCAAAGCAAGCTCTGGTCTCCTGTGTAATCCACATGCCCCGACTGTCTCATCCTCACCATATATGGCTGACTCTGAACCTCCCACCACCTCCAATACTCACTGGAGATTTGAGCCGTATGTCCAGTCCTTCAGCCAGTTTTTCAACAATTGCGGAGTACCCAGGGGTCAGGAGGGTGTGGTCACCAGCAAACTGGGCAAAGAATTCATTGTGGTCCCAGGAACGAGCAGACACCTGGGGACATCAGGAGAGGTTGGAAACCCCAGAGGTAGGGGGCAGGCTTGACGCTGCCTATGCTGGCTTTAAGGCAGAGGCACAAAAAGCGAACCACAGGAGGGCAAGGCAGGTGGGCAAGGGGCACAGCATGAAAAAAGGAGCGATGAACAAGCGTGCAAGAGTTAGGGTGCAGGCCAGAGGTGCCAGAGGGAGGAGAGAGTAAGAGCGTTCACCAGAGACAGAGTGGGGAGCAGAACAGGCAGACTGACTGAAACACACTGCTGGGAGGGGAGCAGCAGGCAAGACAGGAGAGGTCTGCTGCGCCATGTGGGTCAGCTCCCTGGCCGGGGATCGAACTTATGCTGGTGGCTGCGGATAGGTTCATAGTGTTGAGACTTGACCCCCTTGCACCACCAGTAAGGTCCCCAAGGAAAAGGCAATTCTTGATACTATACAGGGAGGCTTATCTTAGAATAAAAGCTGTGTGTGACATGGGTTTGGCACTACTCCTTGGGAAATATTACATTAAAATTGTTTGATGTATCAATGACCCTGTGAAGGGAGAGTTCTGTGAAGAGTAGCACTGTTTGATCAACTCCCTGTAGATGGATGCCAACTACTTGTTTTCCACATGGCATGAGCATGATTTGGGAAAACAGGAATGTTGCCCTCACAGCCCAGGACTGACTGTGGAGGAAGAGGCTCCAAAGTGGACAATTAGCCGTCAAGGAACCTCTTTTCAAAATACAGCACCTCTGAGAATCAAGGTTCATAACGGGTGAAATGCATCAGGCACATTGAACTGCTTTTAGCAGGGTAAACAGACCATATCTGCAAGATACTTTATTCTGGCAAGGTCTTCAAACCAGGGTTCCACAGATGAACCTCTAGGGTCTCTGTGGAGGGCCAGAGAAGGTGGGGAAGGCAGGAACACACACACCCTGGCCCAACCCTGATTCGGCCCAACGGCCCTCTGGTATTTAGGGTTACACATTATGTTTCCTCATCAGCATTATTGAAAGGTTTCTCTTAAAATTTTTTTTCAATAGCACTATGTGGCTAGTGTGCTCTCAATGTGTGGTTTTCAGGCTTTCAAGCAGCAAAACCATTATTTCCTGTTTACCCCCAAACAACTCAGAGTTTAATACTAAGTTACATGGGGAGTCCACACTGAACGTCTTCAATAAGTTCTTGGAAACTACAACGTTAGGTGAAAAGACGAGAAAGAAATGAGGGCTTCGAATAACGTCCTCTTGTTCCATATTAAGCAGGATTTTTTCTCCCTCATCAATGTCCTAATGAAATGACCCCGAACAGAAGGACGTTACTCAAGGATCTGCTGTTTAAAATACTCACACGGACAGATAAACAAGCATTTCAAAGCCCAGTCACACCTGATGGAGGTTGCTGCCACAGGCATATTCCAGGTTACTGAGGTGGAACTGGAGCACCTGTTCTTCCAGCTCACTGAACTGGATACCAGACTCCTTAATAAAAGCTTTGTAGATCTCCTCTATCTTTTCTGCAATGGGAATGGACGAAAAACAGCTTTAACATTATTCTATCACTCCTTACCCTCGGCTCTCCACCGCTTTCACCCCGCAGAGCCCCAAACTTCCAAGTCAATTCAAAGGAAAAGGGGGGCGCACCTCGCTAAGGTTGGTTTCTTGCAGAAGAAAAAAAAAAAGCTTCACTGCAAACAAAACCATGTGGGTTCACTCTCTTCACAAAGGTTTCATTTCTGGCTTAGCTGAGACATGATCTTTTGCTCAAGGTCAAAAAAGAGTCCCCCTTCTCCATGCACGTACAAACACTCACACACAAAGGACTCCAGTTCCCTCATGGTCCCATTCTTGCAACCTCTTTCCTCAACTAACAGACCCACCGTAGACTGACTCCTGCTCTGTCTTCAACCCAACATGATAGTTCCCTGGTGGACTTTCATCTCATCAGTCCCCTGTCCCGACGCCTTTGATTATTGGTCTCCCAGTATTGTGGAATCCATTGCAACCCACAGTCAGACTGCATCAACACTGTTGTAACTCCCTGCACAGCGACTCAATTAGAGGTGCTGCTCCACAGACCACCCACACCTTCATGGCAGGTCTCAGCTGTGCACCCCGAACTCCCTCACTAAGATGCTTCCAGCTGAGCATCACCTAGCCACTGCAGGCCTCTGGGTGTCCCCCTCAGCAACCCCCACTCAACTTGAACTGCCAGACTCGGCCCTGTGATGCCACTGCAGTGGCTGTCTCAGATCCTTCATTGTGGGGGTGGGGGTGGAAAGGGGGCTCGTGCCTGACAATGGGTAAGAATATTAGCTCAGGTTACTTCCATAGAACCCCTCAGGGATGGGTGAAAACTACCAAGCACATTGCAGACTAGAAGCTTCTATAACACGCTGTATATTTGCGTGTTATAGAACTGAGCACCATGGACCATTTTTTTCTCCACAACTCAAGGTGGTCACTGAAATGGCCAGATGCTGCACTAGTGGCACAAAGCTGTCCAAGAAGGCTCTGCCGGTGGGCCAGGCTTTTGCCCCCAGACTGCTGGGCTTTTTCATCGCTTTCAGTCCCTTCTGGGACGCCTGCCTCTGCCACACAGCTTCTATCTTCCTTTAACTTTTGTCATGGTTTGGAAAAAAACAGAATGGTTAAAATAAGGTCTTCAATGAAGTCTAAACAGACCACGAGAAAGCTCAGTATGGTTTCTGCAATAACACATAATAATGTGATTTTTAAATAGGTGTATAATTTCTCTTTTTTTTTCCATAATAATGTGATTTTTAAGTATTATTTAAAGCTTCAGAACATCAATAATAGCTCGAGTACAGAGGCTTGGTGGAATTAAGTACAGCTTAGAAGTTTGATTTGTTTTTTTTGTTTTTGTTTTTCTCAGCTAATAGATCCCAGGAGCTGAAACACCGCTGAGCAGGCTTGGCTGTGACCCTATGAAGAGGTGTGCACACCGATATTAAAGTTTTCTAAAGATATATATCGACATGAAACACTTATGCAGTAGGCATTGCTGATCCTCCCTTTGTAACTTTTTTAAGGTAAGGTCAAGACAAAGCAGTGTTAAATTCTTTGTGTTAAATTCTTTGTAACTTTTTTAAGGTAAGGTCAAGACAAAGCAGTGTTAAATTCTTTGTTGGGGGACCCTCACGGGGTGCAAAGGAAACACCACCCAGCAACTTCCACACACGTGCAAGGCACTAAGCAGACTGAGAAGATTGTGCAAGTCATCCTAATGACTGTACCCAGTTCCAGAAAATTCAAGTCACTGTACAGTCTGCACAGATGATCCTGGTGGTGACCCCCATAAATTTCTGAAAATGTCCTGCTATGTTTGTCAGCCGAGTATAGGTTAGGTCTCAGGAGCACTGGGGTGGCTAAGGGGAGAGACAGAAAGTGTACCCCCACCCCCAGAGAGTAAAAGTATATACAGGGGTGAAGAACTGAGAGCCCCTTCACAGAACCATATAGTTGAAGCAAATTAATACCTGGCAAATTGAATTCAAATGTTCTTGCTTAAAGAACTTTGACATGCTTCCAAGAATTTCAAGTGAATGTACTTGGGTCATAAAATTTTAGGTTAAATAAATATTAACATCAATGTAAATATTAAAATCGCAGCTGGGCCCTATGGAAATAAGTCCTTACAGACAGTCCACTTGTAAGGGTGTCAAAGTTGAGTACCATTTGGCTATCATTTGAGTATCAAAGTTGAAGGTTTGGTGTAAAAAATTCTTAAATTATTCTAAACATTCTTGCATTAAATGAGATACACCAAAAAACCCCCATCCTCCTGCCAAATAAAGAAATGAAATGAAATGCTGGCTTATAGAAACTTACTAGAAAAAATTTTATGTGGCAACTATTCACCCATGGCTTTTCACAGGCTCCTTAAAAGTGAGCTCCTCTGGATATTTGAAAATTAAACATTTAAGTAATTTTTAAAAAATACCAGCTGTTAGGTAAAGATTTGTATGTGAGTGTGTGTAAGTGGGTGTATGCATACAAGCCTCTAAGGCTCCCTCAGCAAGCTCAGCATCTCTTTGTAGAACATTCTGGAGACCCCATCAGTCCAAGGGAACACTTATAAGGACTGCCCCTCCTGTATACATCCAACTTCAGGGCTGGATGATATTTCTGTTCATCAGCCTTAGGGTACAGATGGAACAACCAGAACACCCTTCCCCCCCATACCTCCTAAAGGGACATCTTGCAGCTGAGTCTTATCCTTCCTCCACTCAGAGACAACATCCAAGAGAGCATTAAAATGAAAGTCCATGCGCTTGTCAATAGTGGGGTCAGTTATTCTTCCACCTTCCTGAATTAAGTCACATCTTTCTCCAAATTTATGCATGCTGATGCCAAGCTTCAAAATAATAAGAATAAGAAGGTGAAAATTTTCCCTGGAAAAAATATTTACAGGTTCTCAGCTGAAGTTAGACAGAGCTCTCATGGAGAAAATGGCCTAGTACCTCTCAAAAATAAAGCTACATAAGCTTGATGGCAGATGACAGCAAAGTAAAGCAGTGAAAATACAGCATGAAATGTATGAGACCTTATTTTATGAGAATGTGAGGGTAGCAGCGATTCCTTCTTTCTAAGCCATGCACTTTTGCTATGCAGCCAATACTGGTTAATGCTTCAGATGCTACAGCTGTGCACCTGCCTCTCCTTGCCCTTGACCTTTGACCTCCTCTGTGGACTTGCATGTAATGAGCACACACACAAACACTCACAGCAGAAGTTGATACTGAATTTACTGCTAGTAAGTGTTTCAGAAAAAAAAAATTGGGTTTCAAAGAAACCACACAGAGTGACTCAATAGAAGACAGGATTACCCAGTTAAATTTGACTCTCAGATAAACAATGAATAATTTTAAAATACCAATATCCCAAATAGTGCGTGCAAAATACTACATGGAGCATTTAGGACCTACTTCCACAAATAAAATCAACTTTTTATTTATCTGCAAGTTAAATTTAACTGGGCATCCTGTATTTCATTTGCTAAATCAGGTCACCCTAAAGTTATGGGCTCACTAAGTGACCCAGAAATATCACACAATTTCATGAATAATCTTAGGAAAACAAACAAACAAAAAAATCTTTTAAGTCATGTAGCTCCACTCTCCAAAAGGGAGAAATGAAATCTTTGTATTGACTTTTTTAGAAGAACGAGGAAGCAAGAAATCACTTAGGGAAAATGATACAACACCTGGATACTTATCAATACTAGCACAAACTGAGATTTTTTTGCTTTATCTACAATACAAATCTTAAGGAAACGCACTTGTTCACACATTAGCGCTACTGGGTTGTTGACACAGCCATTGACAATCTGTGCTCCTCTGCCCACCGTGACGCCTTTGAAGGATTTATCATCCCAGACTCGGCCTCCAATTCTGTCTTTGGCTTCCAGGATAGTCACCTAAAAGGGAACAATTAGTGAAACTAAGTCGGATCAAATCACCTTATCAACAATGGTATTACACATATAGAACGACACAGATAAATAGGTTCCATATTTAATTAATGTATCATGTTACAAAAAAAGGAATCTGACAAAGCAGGAGTGTGAACAGGAGGCAAAATAGATGTTAAAAACAATCAATGTAGGGCCCTCCCTGGTGGCGCAGCGGGTTAAAGCACAGTACTGAGAAGCTAAAGCCACTTCTGCATGAGTTCGATTCCCGCCTGCCCCGGAGGTGACCACATGGCGTGGCAGACCTCTCCTGACCCGCCCGCTGCTCCCCTCAGCAGTGTACTTCGTTGATCTGCCTGATCTGCTCCCCACTCTGTCTCTGGTGAAGCCTCTCACCGCCCCTGAGCCTCTGGCCTGTACCCCAGTTCTGTATGTACAAATAAATAAATCTTTAAAAAAAAATAATCAATGTAGGGCCTTCTTGCTGGCCTAAGGGTTAATTCTCAACACTGTCATTGCTATGGCCTGGTCTGAGTTCAGTCCTGGCCCACAGCTCTCATATCTTGCCCGCTGCTCCTCTTTGCAGTGTATTTCAGTAAAGTCACCTGTTTTGCTCCCTACTCTGACTTTGATGAGTCTTCTCATCCCTTGCACTTCTGGCCTATACCCCAGTTCTTCTACACAAAAATAAAAGTAAATAAACAATCAATGTAGGCCTACCATGGAGTAACTAAGTCTCTGACTGGAGAAATCCCTCAAACTGTTTCCTCTGAAATCCCTAATGAGAGTTAGGGATGAACTAACACATGAAATGTCCTTTGAAAGTTTTTACTAAATAGTACCCTATAAATTAAAAATACATTATTAACTAATAATAAACAGCTATATACCAGAGACATTTTATGGGGATGGGGTGGGGAATGGGATCAAAAACAGTGGGGGGAGGGAAATGCATTGAACTATGGTGATGACACATGGGTGATTTGGTGATGGGAAACGCAAGGGGTTTGCAATTGAGATGGAAAAATGCACAAAATGATGAAACAATAAACTATTATATTATTCATTAAAAAAGAGAAAAAATACATTTTTAAAAACTAGAGTAAGGAGGTGAGTTTGTCCATGAAATACCTTTGTATGCCACAAAATTCCATTAGCACTGCAAATAGGTCTCCACTTCCCAAAGTTATAACGATTATTTTTTAAAAATCCCTAGTATGCCATATTACTCCCTAAGATAATTCCTTAAGATATAACTATTATTTTCTTAAATACCTATGATATATTAATCCCAAAGAGATAACTATTAGTTTTTAAAAATTCCTATGATATTACATTATTCCTTAAGAGACAAGTATTATTATTTTTAAATTCCTAAGACATTATATTATTCCCTAAGATATAAATAATTTTTTACAATCCCTAAGGTATTATATTATTCCCTAAGGTGTAACTATTATTTTCTCTTAAATCCTCTGCCATGTTGTCTGAACCAGACCTCATGGGCTTGGTCTGAACCGGCTGGTCTTCCACTTGACTTTTTTTTTAAAGATTCATTTATTTTTGCATATAATAACTGGGGTACAGGCCAGAGATGCAGGGGGTAAGAAGACTCACCAGAGACCGAATGGGGAGCAGAAAGGCAGATCCACCAAAATACACTGCTGAGGGGAGCAGCGGGTGGGTCAGGAGAGGTCTGCTGCGCCAAGAAACCTTAACCCTAATTTCTAATACAGAAGTAAATAAATGATGGATTGAAACACCCCATAGTTTAATGTTACAAAGAAGGTATTATAATATAAACAAATGTCCTATGTCCAACTCAGATTTTTCCATTTGGTTGGCAATATAATGTAATCCAAGACTTAGGTCTCCCATTCTATCCAGATGAAAACCTCTCACACTGACTAAAAAGAGTTTCTCATCTTTGAACTCTTCCAGCAGAGAAAAGATCCTAAGTAAGAGTTGTCATTTCTTTTAGCCAGATGGAGAATAGTGAAAAGACTAACTCAAGTCTCTCAAATTGCTTGACGTGTGTGGTTTAACTAAAAATCAAATTCCCTGCAAAATAAGTTTTTCAAGTGGAGAAATGTGTCAGGCCTAGGAAATCAAAAATTACCAAGTAGATGATTAATATGAATCTAAAGTAAGTGAGATACTGAATTGCACCATTGGGGGAGGGGATCACAGTCTCTATTCAGCTAATTTTGAGCAACTAGAATAAAGCAACTTACTAGGTAAAAAGAAAAAATACGCCTCCTCAGAGAAGCGGCCTACCTCAAACATGCAGTTTATGTAATCGTCATGTCATTTTGTCTCTACCCATGATGAGCCAATTTGAGCTTGTTTCCAAAAGTAAAGATATTTGTTTTCCAGAGTAAGATTCAAAGCAAGCCTTTTATATGCAAATTTGAAACAGGATTTCAAAACATGAAAATTTAAATGGGTATTTCAGAAATTTTAGTGCAACAAATATGGTGACTTTCCAAGCTGCTATCTATAGTCTCAAACAAGTGCACCATCAAGGGCCTCTTGCTCCTTCTGTTGCGCCAGTGACAACCTGTCAAGAATTTCAGCTTGAATACCAAGAATCTCTTCTCACTTCTCACTCCTACTAGAAACACCCTCCAAAGCTGTGGGAATATTCTATTTTCCACTACTTTCTTTCACTAAACCAATGTTGAATTTTGTGTCTTTTCTAGGATTGACTACAAAGACATGAAGACATAATTTATTTAGCATTCTTTGCTAAAATCAGGATTCTTTAAGTTCTATTACATTTGGAACAATGGTGTAGTTCATCATGTTTCTGCTTCCATGTCCCAAAAATCTTACCTTAATTCCAAAGTTATGCAGTTGTCTAGCAGCTGCTAACCCTGCTGGACCAGCCCCAATAATGATGACTGATTTCTAAACAGAAAAAAAAGCCCATTAGAGCCATGAAATCAATGTTCTGTTTCAGTTGTTCTGGAAGGTTCTAACTTCCTGGTAATGTTAACTCATCAGCATTTCCTTTATGTCTATAGAAAGAGTCTCATACAGAATGGGAACAAACTTAGTTTGGGCAAACCCTCTTATCAACAGTTGGGAAAACAGTAGTTGACAGTCTTTTCCCCAGGGAAACACATACTCTGCAAAATGCCTTGCTTGATAATTTCTGTGGTGATAATGTGACTCTTTACCATGTTATTAATGTACTAGCACTTATCACAACCACGCCCTAGCATTTATCATGGGTGGGAGCTCACTGGAGCTGCAGGCACTTACATTGTGATAATCTTTAGGGAGAAGGTGCTGGTCGGCACCCACGTTGAGAACCCCTGTGTTGATGAGCCCTTTTCTTGTCATAAAATAAAGTATCCTCTCCACCTCCTGCACACATCGGATGCGCACGAGACCCCGGACGATGATGTGAGGAATACATTTCTGAGGCGTGAGGGCTTCCTGTGGTTGGAATGAAAACCAAACTGTTGAAACAGACAAACTAAATAACTCATTTCCTAGAAGAGCTCAAGAGAATCACCAGATGAGTGAGCGATTCCATGCCTAAGTCCACACCCCAAAGAACTGAAAACATGTCCAAACCACTCCTCCAATGGCCAAGTAGTGAAAACTGTCCATGTGTCCATCAGGGGGTGAATGGACACGTCAATTGTGGATACAGGGAACATGATTTCCCATAAAAAGGGAAGTACTGAGCCACCACAACATGGACAACTTGACAACAAACAAGTTGAAGAAGCTGTTTTCAACACTGGGTGAGGAAAGGGAAGGAGAGTCACTGCCTACTGGGTGAGGGGTTTCCTCTTGGGGTAATGAAGAAAGACATCTGGCTATACAGTGCTGCGTATATACATATATATATGTATATATACATGTATATATACATACTCACACACACACACATATATATAAAGATTTATTTATTTATGCATATAGAACTGCGGTACAGGCCAGAAGTGGAGGGGTGTTGAGAGGAGTCACCAGAGACAGAGTGGGGAGCAGAACAGGCAGGTCTACAAAGTACACTGCTGAGGGGAGCAGCGGGCGGGTCAGGAGAGGTCTGCCATGCCATGTAGTCACCTCCGGGGCAGGCGGGGATCGAACTCATGCGGAAATGGTTTAAGCTTCTTTGTGCTGTGCTTTAACCCGCTGCGCCACCAGGGAGGGCCCACATATATATATATATATATTTTAAAGATTTATTTATTTATTCGTACAGAACTGGGGTACAGGCCAGAGATGCGGAGGGTGAGAGGATTCACCAGAGACAGAGTGGGGAGCAGAACAGGCAGGTCTACAAAGTACACTGCTGAGGGGAGCAGCGGGCGGGTCAGGAGAGGTCTGCCACGCCATGTGGGTCACCTCCGGGGCAGGCGGGGATCGAACTCATGCGGAAATGGTTTAAGCTTCTTTGTGCTGTGCTTTAACCCGCTGCGCCACCAGGGAGGGCCCCACATATATATTTAATGCCTCTGATTTGTACATTTCCAATGGTTAAAATGGTAAACATAACTTAAGTAAGTATTTTACTACAATTAAAAAAAAAAGCCTCTCAGGGTAATTTAAATCCATCTTTTATCACTAGCATATAAAAGGGAAGTTTGCACCTGGTGAAGGAAAAAAAGAAGGGTCAAAAGGAGAATATACCAGTTTGGGTATTCTATCACATAAGTGTCTCCTGGTCAAGAGTGACTGCTACATGGGTCAAATCACTGCCTGGCCCAGCACTGTGAAGTCAGAACAGGCAAGGGAGGGGTCCCCACGCAGACCCCTCATCTACTTGTCAACACCCACTTCCACCAGATTCTGATCAAACACAGGAAGATGCAGATCAACTGAAGGTACTCAAGACACCACAGTTACATCGAGGACTTGGATTGCTGCAGATCAAAAAATTTGTTATTTGTGAAGTTTAAGAAAAATCACTTCATAGATCTACAATACGATCCAGCAACTCTACTCCTAGGTATCTACCCAGAGAATAAAAAACCATTAAACTGAGGTGTACACACACACTGTAAACAGTGCTGCAATGAACAAAGTACCTACACACAGTGGCCAAGTTATGGAAGCAACCGTAGACAGATGAGTGGGTTAAGATGTGGTATATGCAGAACGGAAGACTAGTTAGCTGGAAAAAGAGATGAACTCTTGCCACTTCTGATAGCATAGATAGAACTGGAGGGGATAATGGTAAGTAAAATAAATCAGAGGAGAAAGACAAATCCCAGATATTGTCACTTACATGTGCAATATAGAAAAATAAAACAAAGACCAGACAAAATCAAAACGGTAACAAACCCTAGAAGTCTGGCTGTAGAAATGAGGCAACCAGAGCAGGAAGATGGAGACCAAAGTGGGGAGGAGACATGTGGATTATGGTGAGGGGTTCAGGGGCCTGGGCGGTGGATGTGGTCTGGTGACGCACAGCTGAGGAGGTAGGAACCTCTCAATCACGGTGTTGCAAACCAATGTTACCTCAATTCAAAGAACATCCTTCAATCGTTGAGTCTTTGAAAAAAAAAAAAAAACAAACAGATATGTGTTTTCTACCAGGGGATTATAAATGCAATATTCAGTAAAGAGTATCTTTATAGCTTATTTATTGGAAATTCTGACCATACTTTTATTGAGTTCAGCCAATACTTACTGAACATCTACCCTCCAGTCTTTTGGGGAGCACATAAACACTTCTCCCTTGCCTAACCCACGCACCTGGGAGTAATTCATACAAAACTGCATTAATAGTTATAATTTGATCACATCATCTCATCGTGAAGTCTATTCCAGTGAAGCAATAAGATGAAACTAAGATTCCTTCCCTCTCTCCCTCCCTCCCTTCTTCCTTCCTTCCCTTTAATTTATTTTTTAAAGAATATATTTCTTAAATCAAGGTTATTTTGGCAGTCTTATAAAACATTCTGTACTCGGCAGTCATTGAAATAACTGAAGACATTGAAAGAAAATCAGATAAATATTAAGCTCAGATGGCCTCTGTTTAAATAGAGGCTCATCATGGCCCTCCCTGGTGGGCAGCGGGTTAAAGCACAGCACTGAGAAGCTTAAGCCACTTCCGCATGAGTTCGATCTCAGCCTGCCCCGGAGGTGACCACATGGCGCGGCAGACCTCTCCTGGCCCGCCCGCTGCTCCCCTCAGCAGTGTACTTCATCAATCTGCCTGTTCTGCTCCCCACTCTGTCTCTGGTGAAGCCTCTCACCGCCCCTGCACCTCTGGCCTGTACCCCAGTTCTGTATGTACAAATAAATAAATCTTTAAAAAAAAATAAATAGAAGCTCATGTTCCCATCTCTACCTCTAATTTATCTTTCCTCCTTTCAAAGAGGGTGTGGTGTGAGGTCTTTAACACTTTTCATTCCAACAGAGAATAAAGCACTGGTGTTAGCTCTGTGGGGCAGAATAGGAATCCCTTTCTTAAATGGGTTTACAATCCAGTCTTTAGGATATTTTCGTTTTGCTCCTGGCATTGCCATTAAGAACTTTGGGACTAAACTTCATCACTTACATTCAGCTGAGAGCCACAGGGTCTCAGCTGATCACACAGGGTCGCCAGTGGAGTATGTGGGCATTCTGGATGTCACAGTGGGCAGCACTACTAGCAGGGAGGGGGTGGGAGCCAGAGGTGCTGCAAAACACCTTAAAATACACAGCGCAGTGCCCACCCTAAGAATGAACCGCCACATTTCCAATGGTGCTGAGGTGGAGACCCATTCACAGGAAAGAAGCTCCTTTCTTTCAGACAAGCTTTCGTCCACGACTGTGCCTAACACAACCTCATTTTCTTCATGTCCGCTGGTGTTTCTGATCCTGAGCCAGCTGCATCAGTGTAGGCTTTCCCACACGACAAGCAACATGGCAGGCTGTCCAAGAACTGAACTCCATCCCGACACTATCAACCCAGACACAGCGCCAGATTCTCTTGGCCAGGGTGCAGACCCCAAAGGTAGAAGGTATTCTACCTCAAGTCCCAGGTTGCCTGGACCCAGGCTTCTGACCAACTGGCTACAGTTAGGAGGTTCCAACCCCCTCCTCAGATAACCTGTGTCATAAGTCAGAGGTTCCCAAGACACACTCCTCACGTTCAAGTAATTTGCAAGGACAGTGCATGGAATTCAGGGAGCCCAGTTACTCACAAGACTTCTGATGGATTGCAAAGGATACAAGAGCTATGAATTCACCACCAAATGGAAAAGCTGCATGGGGGAAAGGCGGGGAACATCATGTACTCCCCACTCGAGATCCTCTCCAAATTTCCATAGTCATCAACCCCCCAAACATCTGCAGAACCTCCTCTTGGGTTTTACAGAGGCTGCAGTTCATAGGTATGATTGACTGACTCCTCAGCAGCTGGCAACTAACAGCCTCCAGCCTGTGGCTCCTCCCTGGGGGTCAACTGGGTGGGACAAAAAGTTCTGTCCTCTATACAAGCTGGTTTCCAAGGCAACCAGCTCTCACCCACAAAGGTGTTTTCCAAGAGACTGCCATTAACACAGTAAAAGACACCTCTGACACTTTTCACACTTCAGAGTTTCCAGGGCTTGGGAGCTGCTGTCCAGACTGTGGATGAAGACCAAATGGATGAGAGATACAGATTTGGGCCATTCGGATGCTCCCCGTAACGAGATGGCCAAGTATATTATTTCCAATAAATCTCAAGATCGTACTTACTTTGCAGTTAGTATGCCACAAGGCTAAGATGAGGTTCCTCAAAGCTAGGTACATGGTGGGATCCCGCGAGTACTCAGGGAACTCATAGAGTTCATCCAGCTCCATCACGTCCGGCCTCACACACAAGGCTTTGCCACATTCATTGGGCTGGTAGAAAGGCTGGAAGTACCGGTTCATGCCTGGAACTGACAAGAGACACCAACAGGCAAATGCTACCAGCTGGAACTCTCAAATCCAAGAGAATTAAAGCAAAGATGCCAAGAAGGAGCCTAGACAAACGCCAGTCTCTCTTACAGAAACCCTTCTGGCTTCCTCCAACTGGATCGACAAAATGTGCATGAACTAGACAAACATGTTTTCCATTCTTCACAAATCTCATTTTTCTTCTATGGAGTATCTTTTAAATTTTCATTGTGGTTAAAAAAAAAAAAACATACCTATGACATTTACAATCTTAACCATATTAACGTGGATAGTTCAGGGCCCTTCCTGGTGGCACAATGGGTTCAAGCAGCACTATGAAGCTACTGCAGCCACTGCAGCATGAGTTCGATGCCCAGCCAGGGAGCTGACCCCATGGCGTGACAGACCTCTCCTGTCTCACCCGCTGCTCCCCTCAGCAGTGTATTTCAGTCAATCTACCTGTTCTGCTCCCAGCTCTGTCTCTCGTGAATCCTCTCACCACCCTGCACCTCTGGCCTGTACCCTAGTTCTGTATGCATAAATAAATAAATCTTTTTTTTTTTTTTAAAGATTTATTTATTCGTACAGAACTGGGGTACAGGCCAGAGATGCGGAGGGTGAGAGGATTCACCAGAGACAGAGCAGGGAGCAGAACAGGCAGATCGACGAAGTACACTGCCGAGGGGAGCAGCGGGCGGGTCAGGAGAGGTCTGCCTCGCCATGTGGTCACCTCCGGGGCAGGCGGGAATCGAACTCATGTGGAAGCGGCTTTAGATTCTCAGTGCAGTGCTTTAACCCGCTGCGCCACCAGGGAGGGCCAATAAATAAATCTTTAAAAAATAACAAAGTATATAGTTCAGTAGATTCACACTGTTGTATCACAGATCTGTAATTCATGCATATTCCAGAATTTCTCCTTCTTCCAAGACTGCAACTCCACACTCACCAAATAACAAAATCCACATGGAAATGTATTTCAAAAGCAATTTTTGTTGGAAGTTTTCCTGTTATAAAATGAATAGGTTCATGGGAGTAAATAAGCATCGTTAACCCCTGGTAATCCTTCAGTGCTGGGAAACAGGCAGAGACACGGGCTAGCCTTACTTCTGTTCCTCTGAATAGAGACTTAATATAATTAACAATGTTTTTATAAAGCCAGAAAAAAAAGTTATAAAAATGCTTTTTTCTAAATTGCCTTTTAATATTTACAAGAATATCAAGACAGTGTCCCATGTCATTAAATAGGGCTTCAGTGAATCAATAATAATGCATTACTTATCTAGCCATTCTCCTGTAGCGTGGCATTCAAATTTCATCAAATCACCTCACTAAAACAAATAATGCTACCTAAGTTTCTTTGCACATAACTCTTTCCATTTATTGACAATTTGCTTCGATCATTTATTCAGGATAAATTCCTAAGGTCAAAGACTATCGCTTTTAAGATTTTAATTCACCAACTTGTCCTTCATAATTAGGCACACCCACTAATAGAACTTCGTGCCTATTTTTCCCACTTTCACCAACACTAGGATTTATCACCTCAGCTTTGATTTCTATAACATCTATATTTTTAGTGGGCACAGTGTTATTAATTTTCTTTAAAATGTATGCATATAAGAATGGAGGTACTGGCCAGAGGTGCAGGGACTGAGAGACTTCTCCAGAGACAGAGTGGGGAGCAGAACAGGCAGGCTTATTGAAATACACTGTTGAGGGGAGCAGAGGGGGAGACAGGAGGCCTGCCACACCATTTGGGTCATCTCCCTGGCTGGGGATTGAACTTGTGCTGCAGTGGTTGCTGATAAATTCATAGTGCTGCGACTTAACCCCTTGTACCACCAGGGAGGTCCAGCAGTGTTATTAATTAAAATCCTTAACAAGGCCACCATATTAAAAGTTGTTTGTCAAAAATAATGAACAACCATATACCAGAGACATTTTGTGGGGGTGGAGTGGGGAATGGGACCAAAA